CTCTGTGTTGAGGGGTTTGGGCTTTATTTTTGGATGTCCGATCAGGTGTCCTGCCCAGCTCGAAGGCAGACTAGCCACTGTTTGGCTGCCGAGGCTCCGCCCTGCTGTTGTGTGATTCGCGCTGTTCCTGCCGGCTCTGCTGTGGTCTCCGCCACGCCCTGTAGCGTGTTGCCTCAGCAACGGCAGGCTGCGTCAGCAGTGGGCGTGTATCTCAGTAGGGACGGGTTGCCTCGGCAACGGCTGGCTGCCTCAGCAGTGGGCGTGTATATCAGTTGGGGCAGGTTGCCTCCGTAGTGGTGGACGCCCCTCCCCCACAGAGTGTCTCGGACCGTCTGCCCGGGATAGTTTGAAATCGCGGTTTTGTTCGTCCCACTGGGTATCCCAAGCGATCTGTCCCTGCAATCCCCTGGGCTGGGCTACTGTGCAAGTCTCCTTCAGTCTCAAGTCCAGCCCTCTCAAGTCTCAGGTTGCTGGTTCAACAAGGCACCCGGACAAGCGCGCCCTGTGGGGATTGCTGGGTAGGGCCGGCCGCCGCCGCCCCGGCTGCCGGCTTCGCCAGGCAGACCTACTGCCTGGCGTCCCGTGTCTTTTTATACTTGGGAGTTTCCCCGTTCTGTGGGCAACAAAGATCAGTCTGGAAATGCAGCACTGACTCACCGTTTGCGAATTCAACGCGGGTTCCAATCCTGGGTTGTTCTCACAGCGCCATCTTGAGTCCCCTCTTCTTCATTGGGTTTTTCATTTTGGAAACTCAAATTCTTCAGCTATGGAAAAATTTTAAAAATAATCTTTTTGATAATTTTTTTCCTTCAATTACTTCTTTTCTCTTTCTAAAGTGCCTGTTGAATGTTGAATTTCTAAATAGATTCTTTAGTTTTTAAAAAATTTCTTTATACTTTTTCCAGTTCTTGGTCATTTTGTTCTTTTGTAGAGATTTCTTCCACTTTATATTTCAATGCTTCTATTGCTTTTTGAATTCCTGCCACCATTTTTTTTTTTTTTTTTTGAGACTGAATCTCAATCTGTTATCCAGGCTGGAGTGGTGAAATCTTGGCTCACTGCAACCTCTGCCTCCTGGGATCCAGCGATCCATCCACCTCAGCCTCCTGAATAGCTAAGACTACAGGTGTGTGCCACCACGCTTAGCTAATTTTTGTATTTTTAGTAGGGACGAAGTTTCACTATGTTGGCTAGGTTGGTCTTGAACTCCTGACATCAAGTGATCCGCCTACCTTGGCTTCCCAAAGTGCTGGGATTACAGGCTTGAACCACTGTGCCTGGCCCTGCCATTATATTTTTAAGTTCTAAGAGCTTCTTCTTCTCTAAATGTTATTGTTCCATGAATCTTCTATTACTTTTTTGATTTTTTCTCTATTATTTTTCTCTGAATTTACTCCATTTATTTTATTCATTTTTTTCTGTTTGTTTTTTAAACTTTTTATTTTATCCTAAAGTATTTTTTTCCAGGTATCTTTCTGCTCTTTAATGTTGGTTATGTTTTATAACAAAGCCCTAATTGTTGAATTGGGTACATTAAATGTAATGATTGGATTTCTTGACTTAGGAACATTCTAGTAGGGTGATAATTGAAACTGGTAGGTTTCACTAGAAACCCCACGTTAGAACATCTTTTCTTTTTGGCTTGGCAGTTTCCTAGAGACTAGGAATATAAGCCTGATAGTAAGCATTCTGGAAGCCTCGTGTTCTCACTGCTCAGTATAATGACTTTCAATTAAATCCAAACTGTATAAAGGTACTCACTTCCTTCTCAGCTAAGCTAGATATCCAGAACCTTGCTGGAAGGTAAACTTCCAGTCTTCAAACATATACGGGGGCAGTGGAGTAGCTCTGTGGGATACTAGGGGTCTAACTATATCGTATATACATTTTTCAACCAATTGTCCTATTTTTGATCCCACCCTAAACTTCATCAGAAGTGGTTACTAACACAATTCCTGAGTTTTCTGCTAATCTGCAGGGTGAGCTAACTTTCCTCTACTTGGGTACTTGCTGCAGTGGAGAAGTCGAAAGTTGGAGTTACTTGGCACTTGCTGATCTTCTTTCCATCTTCCATGACTTCATTGACATTTCTCATTTGCTTTTGTCTTTTTTTTTAATTGAGGCTTTATAGCCTTTTATGTCTTTATTTTATCTTAGGAATTCTGCAAGAAGGTAGATGTAGCACGTATTCTATCTGCCATGTTTCGTGTCCTCAAAACATGTGATCCTCATCATTACTGCAGCAAGGGAAGAGAGAGCTGGAAGGATTTCCAGGGGCTTTACTTGGCCTTGGTCCAGAATGGTGTCTCGTGACTTTTTCTGGCCAATCTACTTTAAGCCAAAGTAATGCCTGTCATTACTTAGAGTAGATTCGCCAGAAAAAGTCACGAGATACCATTCATTGAAAGAGGCTGTTAAGTATCTTATTCCTTGTGCTAGGAGGAGACCAAATCTGAATATTGGAAGCCACTAGTAATCGTGACTATGCATTTAATGAGCTCTTACTATATATGAGGGATTGCACTATTACACATGTTGACATAATTTATACTCATGAAATCTTTTGAGACAGCTATTATTTATATCATTTTTATAGACGAGTGAAGTGATAACCAGAGAAGTTAAATAATGTATTCAAAGTCGACAGAGAGTAAGGAGCAAAGTCATGATCGAACACACACAGCCTCACTCCAGAGCCTTTGAACTTAACCACTGAATCAGTTTGGCTCATATTTGGTTAATCCACAGAAGTTTATTGGAAAATCATTTTGTTCCAGGCATTGTGTTATGTAGGTAGAAAAAAATAATGAAGTACTTTGTCTCAGAATGCTAACTGTATTTACCTGTGGAAAGAGAAATCATAGGTCATTTTTTTCTTTTCTTATGCTGTTCTGTATTGTCTGATTTTTTTTTTATTTAAAAGATCCCACATAATTTTATGACCATCAAAAATGTTTCCATTTGAAAACCCAATGGATGGGAATTTAATTCTGATACTTCTTAAATTGGTTCAGGGATTGGTGACAAGGTAATAATGACATGTTAAGTGCTGGTGAGAAAGTAAACTTTATTTATTGGATTTCATGGACTCAAAATTCCTCTGCCAGGTAGCATAGGAGAGAATGTGAACCTGCCAGTCTGCTGAATAGAACTTTTATCAAGAGAGATACAGGAGTAAGTTTCCTTTGGAAAAATGTACAAGTTTTCAAAGCCTCGTGCCATTGCCACTTCAGGGGCCACCCTGAGGACAACTTATTTCTTGATATCACTGGGGTAAAAAAGCATATAACCTGATGGTTTAAGTACAAGCTGTGAAGTATTATTATTCCTTATTTGTTCTTACAAATTCTATATATGTTTAAAAATTTAATTCAAATTCAAAGTTCAAATTCAACTTAAATTCAAAACTCAAGTGGTTGGTAAAATTTTCCAACTTTTCCACCATTTGGACAATGATTTATCTGAATTTCTTTTTCCTTCTTCTTCTTCTTTTTTTTTTTTTTTTAAGATGAAGTCTTGCTCTGAACCCAGGCTGGAGTGCAATGGTGCGATCTCTGCTCACTGCAACCTCTGCCTCCCGGGTTCAAGTGATCCTCCTGCCTCAGCTCCTGAGCAGCTGGGATTACAGGAACTAGCCACCATGCCTGGCTAATTTTTGTATTTTTAGTAGAAATGGGATTTTACCATGTTGGCCAGCCTGGTCTTGAACTCCTGACCTCTGGTGATCTGCCTGCCTCAACCTCCCAAAGTGCTGGGATTACAGGCGTGAGCCTCCATGACTGGCTGATTTCTCTGATTTTCTAAGTCTGTTGGAGTTTGTACTTCATGTAACCTTAGTCCTTAGTAATGTCTTATATTTCTCATAAATCACAATCCTAGAAACGTAAGATATTAAGAATAGAAGGAAACTTAGAGTTCATTTAGGTCTAAGTCTTCATTTTAAAGATGATGTGATTAGATATAAGGCATGAGCAAAGCCTTTGCTCAAAATCTCACATCAGTTGCAGACACAGGACCCGAATTTTGGACTGTTTTCTCTTAGGCCAAAGTTCTTTCCCTTCATGAATTGTAACGTTTTACCCCAATACTAATTTTCTTGGAGGAAGAGATTATGCCTTTTACTTCTTTGTAAATTGAATGAATCCATTTGGAGGATCTAACTAGAGGCATAACAACAAGTAAACCTTTTTCCTAATAGGGAAAATAGGCAATGAAATATAAATAAGGCAGTATGTACCTGGGTTTGAGCGTTGAGGAGGGTTCAGCAGTTATATCTGGATTTAATAGAAAGGAATGCCATGACTGATTAGTGACATCTTGGGTATAGGAGGAGGAAACACAATACATATGTCAGTATGTGTATTTTCTTCTGACCAATAACAAGTCCTCCTAGCCATATGAACCACCTGGAGAGGATAGACATGGAGAAGAGGTGGGGAATATGGATACCTATTCTACCTATTTGGCAACAAGAACAGGAGAATCAATCCTAGCTTCCAATGTGGCGGCATATGCTCCTACCAGATTGTCTCACTGATAACGTCTTTGTAACCCCTAAAGCTATGGGCATCTAGTAGGCATCCAATTCAATAAGGACATGTTAACGAATTGAAATTGGGATATAAACCAATGTTTTCACAATAGAACTTTCCATCCTTCTTTGGTAATCCCTTATCAATCAAAGTACTTGGCACTTGGTGCATTAAAATTCCTTGTAGAACAAAAATACAACCTTCAAAGCAGGACCATGAATCTCTAGATTATCAATACACAATCTCATCTGATATAAAATTGAAAATATTGTAACCTGATGATTGTACTGTGTAAGTAGAATACCTTCTATATTCTTTGAACCCCTCTTTAAAATTGCCCGGAAGGCACAAAAGAAAAAGGGGGATTCAGAAAATCTTCCTTTAACTTGTGGGATTTTATGAGTCAAATTGCGGGGAAAATCTGACTCCGTGTGGACTTCCATTCTGTATGTCATGCTTCTTCTGTAGGTTCAGCTTGCATGATGTCAGGAGTTCCGGGAGCCAAAATAGCGTGGGGGCATGGATCCAATATTGACTCATATTGAATGGAAGAAATCTACGCCGAAGTCTGGATGAGATAATTTAGTTGTGAGTGCTAGGATGTGACTGCTGATGACAGAGGAAAAGGGCAACCAAGGTGTAAGTTTTGTCTTTCTGACTACCTACTCGGTTAAGACGGAGGACAGCAATTGAAATCTTGCTGATGTGTCATATATAACCATAGCCAGTTTTCAGAAAAAAAGTTTAGTTGAAAAGAAAAAAGAAAGTTTTCAGCCCCTCCGTTTTAGTAATATGGTCACACCTTGGCTCCTGGTGGCTTTGCAAAACTTTTAAAGTATATCTTGGTGGTGAATTATTCTGCAGTCTCAGAACTGGCTGAACCAACGAAGTGTGAAACCTCTAGTTTGCATGTGCAACAAAAGGTGTTTTAGAGGCAGAAGAGCGAGAGAAATTTCTTTGTTTGCAAAGTTGACAAGGCAGAAAAAGATCACAATTGGATATACTATTGTAAAGATAATGTTCTGAACCAAAGAGTCATATGTTGAAAGATGAAAATCTAATAGCAGATATTTCACGTCCAGCCTGGAATGCAGGACCAGCTATATAGTTTGTGGAAATAAGTGCAAAATGAAAATGTGGGCCCTTTGTTAGAAAAGTGATTAGAAACTTCAGGAAAGTGACAGCAGAGCCTTAAAGCAAGTGTGGGCTGTTCTAAGCTCAGGCTCCTGACAGGCTGCACAGGTTGCAAGCCCATGAAGTTGGGTTCGCTGGGATGTTTAGGCAAGACTTTCAAAAATATATTTCAAAAACAATTTCAAAAAATATTTGCAGTATTACTATGTTTTAAGGAATTAAAGTGTGATTACTATCTCACATATTCTACAGAAAAAAACCCCAGAAACAAAAGCCTGATAGGGTGTAATTATTTGAATTCAGATATTTAACATAGGGGCACATACAATAATTTCAATGGATACTGATAGATTGGGGAATGGATTGACCAAGGGTTCTGTCTTCTTTGGGAACTTCTTGGATTTAGACTCAGTTCTGCATTATCCAGTTGAATGAATTTAAGCACATCACTTGTTTTTCTGGATTTTGATTTACAAATCTTAAAAGTAAGGGAGTTGACCGTAGATAATCTATAATTCCATAATTTGGTGTTTGGCAATGTCATCAAGAGTCATTAGAGCTTGGATTTTAGCCATGTAATTACTAAACATATGGCCACACTGTAAACATATTCTTAATATAATCTGTTATTTTGAATAGGCATTCTCAATTTACAAATGGCTAGACAGCATATCCTTCCCTATTACGGATCTCACCATTGGAACTCCTCAACCTTAGTACTACATTCTAGTGGATCAATCAACTTTATTCCTTTCCAGAAAGTTGTGAACATTCCTTCCAGTGACTCAGAGGTTGACCATTAGAAGGTATTGAGAGCCTGCAGTGTGTCTCAGGCTTCAACCCACATCCCTTTCCTATCTGCAAGCACATTCTCTGGATGTAATTTTTCTTGAGCAGAGCAACAGCAGAGCTTTGTGTGCCACAATGTAATTTTTACATTCTTCACTTGCTTAACATGGGGTTTGGTTCCACATAAAGGTTTTGATCTTATTTATTCTTTGGAAAGATTGTCCTTCAAAGAGCTTTCTGGCTTTTTTTCCCACATAAAATAATACATGAAATTGTCCCAGTCAGGACGCGTTGGCTAAAGAGATATGGCATCATTTTTCTAACATTAATTATAAATATTTCTTAATTAAAAAATAGTTTCTTACAGGTTAGGCCTGATAACATTGGGACTAGAACTTGAGGGCAAATTACTCAAAAGAGATCCTTAGGCAAGCATTCAAGTTTACATTTATTTAGCACCGTTTATGAGAAAATCTCCATGCTAAATTATTTTAGGGAAGAGAAAGGCATCATAAAAGCAATGAAACAATTTTTGATTTTCAGAAACTCAGTCTAATGTGGAAGAAGACACACAAATAACTATCCTCAATACAAGATTGAGGAATCAGAACTCTTAGAAAAGTATAAACCAAGACTTGTATAGAAGATGTAAGATTAATTTCAAGGAGGATAATTTTGGGAGACTCAGGGAGATGGGAATTTTTAAGCTGGGCTTGGATGGATGGCTACTACTCTCAGGGACCCAAATGAGAGGAAAAAGAATGCAAGACCAAAGAAACAGCCTGAGCAAAGATCCAGGGTATTTTTTTTTTTTAAAGAAATGACTAGTCATCCAGTGTTCCAGAATAATAATAAACTTTTATTGAGTGATTGCTATATGCCAGGAAAAATTCTTAACACTTTATGAAGACTATCTGATTTAATTTTTAACTGAAGCATGGATGAAGACACTATTATCAAACCATTCTTACAGATAAGGAGACTGAATCATAGTAGAATTAAGAAGTAACTCACAGTGATATAGCTAGATAGTGGGGGAGCCAGGAATCAAGTCTGCACCCATAACTGCAATACTTGTATGTACACAGTGCAGGTAGAAATGCTAAGTGGGTTGGAACCAAAGAGTGGAGGACTTTTTGTGCCATCCCAAAGTTTTGTATTTCATAAATAAGTTACAAAGGAGGAGAAAGAATCCTATTTTTTGTATTTCAAAGACAAAGAAATAAAAAGTTAAAAAGATTCTCTGTTATTACTGATTATTTGGAACAAAAAATTGTTTAGAGTTATATTGTTCAATATAGTAGCAACCAGCAATATGTGGCCATTAAGCATTTGAAATATGACTAGTCCAAATTAAGATACACTGTAGGTATAAGATTACACTGTATTTTGAGAATTTAATATGACAAAAAGAACGTCAAATACCTTATTAATAATGTAGCATATTGATGCATACTGAAGTAATATTTGGGATATATTGGTTTAAATAAATATATTTTAAAATTATATTTACCTTTTAAAAAACCTTTTATTAATGAGGCTACTAGATCATTTAAATTTACCTGTGTGGCTTGTATTATATTTCTATTGGGCAGTGCTGATCTAGAGCAATTTGAAATGTGTGGTAGATATTTTACTAACCAACTCTGATGAAGGTCTTTCTCACCAAATTGGTCTTTTAACCACATTCTTTCCTTGCTTTCTGGTCATTTGCAAGAAAAATTTTAAAAGGCTCCCCCTTTGTAAAGGTTTGAGAGGCCCTAGAATTTCCTTTTTCACTTGTTCCCAACCACAAGCAAATGATCAATGTGCTTTGTGAATGAGGAGTCAACATTTTACCAGGGCCAAGTGGGGGGGAGGCATGAAAAAATTTCCAGTCCTTGAACAGTGTGAAGTAAATGTGCCTTCAAAGAATCCCACTAGAGTGGCACAGGTGGGCATAATGGGTCTGTCTCATCGTCAAAGGACCCAAGGAGTCGAAAGGAAACTCTAACTACAACACCAAAATGCCACAAAACCTTAGTTATTAATACAAACCAGCATCCCTGCCTATCTGTCACCATCTCATCTTAAAAAACGTGTGAAAATACGTAATCCTGAGGAGACTTCAATTAGGTATAAATACCAACAGCCAAAGGAGGTACAGTACATTTTTCTGATCATCTGAAGATCAGCTATTGGAAGAGAAAGATCAGCCAAGTCCTTTGGACCTGATCAACTTGATACGAGAACTACTGATTTCAACTTCTTTGGCTGAGCTCTCTCCGAAACAATGAAATATACAAGTTATATCTTGGCTTTTCAGCTCTGCGTCGTTTTGGGTTCTCTTGGCTGTTACTGCCAGGACCCATATGTAAAAGAAGCAGAAAACCTGAAGAAATATTTTGTAAGTATGACTTTTTAATAGTTCTTGCTTGTGGTTGAAAATGACTGAGCATCGACTTGCTGTAGCATCTCAGGCTGTGTTCTCTTGTACACAGTCATTCTGAGAAGATTTGATGTTATTTTGTTAATTATTGATTGGATGAGTTTCTTGATTAAATAATCTAGATATTGCTTTAAACTTCTGCTCAATTCATATAGAGACTTAAAAGAGATTTATGAATCTTCCAAAAGATAGGCATAATATGGGTATGAAACATAATCATGTTAATAATTTTGTGGTGAGAACTCATTCAGTTGTGATAAGTCAAGGAGTACACATATTGAAAAAATGATTGGCTATTAGTTTCTGACTTCTCAGACTCTAAGGTCAAGATTAGCATTAAAAAGGGTAATACGTAACGTTTAAAATTAAAGTAAAAGAGGGTGAGGTCCTTAAAGCTTTGGATTAAAAAAAAATCACTGATGGGTGATTTTCTCCAAAAAGTGATTTCAACATTTTGCTGCTCTGTCTATATTACTTGTGAATTATTCCTGAATTTAGTTGCTCACTGGAATTTTGTAGAAATTATAATTCTGGCTAAGGAATGTTCAAAAATTTTAAGGGAGTTTTAGGAGTTTCTTTTAAATTTTTATTTATGGTTAATGAAAACATTTTTTACATTTTAAATATTTTATTATTTATTTAAAACTTAGCTATTATAATTGTTGCTGTCATAATAATGGTCAGGTATTCACAATTGATTTTATTATTATAGCATAAAATCAAATCTTATATACACACATACACATAAACATACATTTGGAACTATCTTTTAAAGCTGACATAATAATACCCTACAGGAAGGCACAGTAGATGTTATAGAAACCTGCACCATTGGGGGGCAGTATTTTATAGTGGGGTGGCTTTGCTGTTTTTGTTTTTGTATTTTTTAGCTTAATTTGAAAATACTTTCTTTAGCTTACTATAGTTTTTGGGACCCTTGGTACATCATCAGCCTTGTTGGACTCATTTGTGACATTGCAATTTAATGGTTATATTGGGAAATACAAAAGCTAAAAGAACATAACAATCTTTGGCTATATCTCACACAAACCTTTTGTGAATACTTATTGTTAGAACTAAGCAGAAGAGTTGAAAAGGAATATTGCCACAACCGAGTTCAATGAAACTTGAAATATATTTATAGGGAATGTATGGACTAATTGTAAACCAGTTTTTTCTTTTTCTTTTTTTTCAGAATGCAGGTGATTCAGATGTAGCAGATAATGGAACTCTTTTCTTAGACATTTTGAGGACTTGGAGAGAGGTAAGCTGAACATTCCCATTTGGCTGATTTTCCTGTTGCTTGTTTTCTGATGGATAAATTCACATCATCTTCTCTTTGTGTTCTTTCCTTCCAAGGAGGGTGACAGAAAAATAATGCAGAGCCAGATTATCTCCTTTTACTTCAAACTTTTTAAAAACTTTAAAGACAACCAGAGCATCCAAAAGAGTATGGAGACCATCAAGGAAGACATGAATGTCAAGTTTTTCAATAGCAACAAAAGGAAACAGGATGACTTTGAAAGGCTGACTAATTATTCGGTGAGGCTTTTTAATTCTTTTTTTGGTTTCATGGTGGAGGCTCTTGCAAGGCACGTATTTTCCAGAAAGTAGACAATAGCTATTTAACAGTCGCTAAAGCTATGAACTCAACCCATGGCTGAAACTCTTTCTTACTAATTCCATTGGTGTTTGGATGACTTTGCGAAGCCAGTGTGGGAAACACTGAAGTGTGTAATGTAGAAAAACGCTGGCATTGTAACTATTGCATAAAGACAGGTGAATTGACAATTCCAGTGAAGAGGAAGTAGGTGAAGAAGGAGAGAGGTGAAGAAGAAAGAGAAGGAGAGAGGAGTACTGAGCAATTCTCTCATTGTCCCTTGCTCATATGATGGAAATTCTTTTGCTTTGAATGGGAGGCTCTCTGTCTTAATGGAAAGAGCAGTGGGAGGAGCTGAGAAGTTGTATGTTCTCCTCCCAACTCAGACACCAAGAAACTGTGATGAATCACGTAGCTGGCTGGGGCTCAGTTTCCTCATCTTTAAAGGAAACTGTTAGGTTCACTACATATGTTTAATGACCTTCTTTGCTCCAAAACTCTACAATGCCAGGAATAGAAAATGAGAATGAGATAGAATAAAGCTATGGCCTTCGAGTAGGCACCAGGGCCACCCCACTGCAAGTCTCTAGCCAACCTTTTGGATTGTACAGCCCAATTAGAAGCAAGAATGGTTGCTGTTTGTTTGTTTTTTAGGAAAAAATAGGTAGAATTTATACCTTATGAAAAGATTGTTCTATCAACTCTATGAACTTTCGGAGTATCTTAGCTGGAGAAATCCTTAGACTTCTAACTCTTTCTTCATGAACTTGTCTTACATCTTTAAATCATAGCTCTATAAACAGAAAGATAACTGAAGCATAAAGACAAATCACATTTTCAAAATTTTATCCAGAAGACAAAGGCCTCTAGATTCCCTTGGGGTTGGCGTTGATATAAATGGGCTCAAATGAGGGGGACCGGGGTCTTCAAGCTAGCGTTTGTGCTCTGAGGATTTGTGCTCAGCTTTCACTATCGCTTAGTCTGCCTCTCACTCCTCTCATGTAAGCTCCCAGAAACTGAAAGGAGACATGGCAACAGGCAGCCTTTGGCTGTGAACTAGACACTCAGCACTTGTGCCTAACCCAGTGTGCCCCAGCTTACTTTTCAGTCCTGGATAAGTCTCTGAGTTTCTTGGTGATGATCTGAACATTGGAAAGTAAAATTGGTCACTTGCAAACACACAGCTCGTAGAAAACTTTTTCTACTCAGTAGGAACTGGGCCTTAAAAAAGTACAAAAGTCTGTTAGTTCCTTCTTTCTGGAAGCTCCAGACCTCCTGCTTCTTGACGGGCAATCTTGAGTGAGCTCTATTAACTATTGTCCTCTTTTGCTCACTTGCTAAGCTATTTTAGGCATGTTATGCCCTTTGATAATTAGCCCTGCAGCCTGTAATCCCCCTGCCACCCTCAGAAATGTAGTGAGGTAGCCATAGTGTTCCCAAGAATAGAAAAAATGTAATGGCAGAGCCAAGAGGAAAGTAAATGCTCCACATTTTAATGGCCCTATTGGTTAGGGTGAGGAAATTCAAGTAGTTTAATTTGCCGGCATAGAAGGCAGAGTACTGGAAAAGTTGTTGCAATTCCTAATTTTAAATTTTATGTATCAGTAAGCCATACACATATGACTGGTGTTTATTTTAAAACCCATTATGAAAATTGAGAGACAGACCTAATTGGGGAGAAATTAAAAAGTACAGTTTTCACTCATTTTGGATTTGGTGTTTTCTAGGGTACCTAACCTAGATCGGTGGTTCTCAACCTTAGCTGGGTATCAGAAGCGCCTGGGGAGCTTAGTGAAAGCACAGGCCTTCCACTTCATGCTCCTGGGTCTCTGATATTTTTCTTATGTTTCTAGATTAATCTGCTAGGCACAACAGTGAGAATCATTGGCCTATAGGTAGTCTTTTGATACATACAGGAGATACTAAAGTATAAAGTGATGTAATCGGTAGATTGATGATAGAGAGGTCATGGAAACAGTCTCCTCCTCCTTTAGATAAGAAAATAGAAGTTCAGAGAGGTTAAGTGGCTGACTGAAGATCAGAATTATTGCATGCATGAGATTCAAACCCATCTTTTTATATTCAATCCACACCCGGGCTCTTTTCACTGCATAATTTCAAGAATTCTATAGAAGTAGATTTAAGGATATGTGATGTTATAGCACATTATAGCACAACTAGCAATGTAATTGTACTTTTTAGCTTAACTGCTGAAGAAGTAAATATTGCATGTTAAGGTAATACGGTTCTAGTCAGACCCCCTTCCTTTTTTTTTTTTTAAAGCAGTACTTCTATTTTCACTGATCATCATGCCATTAACAGAATATCCTAATGGCTTATATGCCTGAAATTAATTTTTCTCTTTTCTTTCTCAATAGGTAAACGACTTGAATGTCCAGCGCAAAGCAATACATGAACTCATCCAAGTGATGGCTGAACTGTCACCAGCACCTAAAATAGGGAAGCGAAAAAGGAGTCAGACGCTGTTTCGAGGTCGAAGAGCGTCCCAATAATGGTTGTCCTGCCTGCAATATTTGAATTTTAAATCTAAATCTATTTATTAATATTTAACATTATTTATATGGGGAATATATTTTTAGACTCATCAATTGAAGAAGTATTTATAATAGCAACTTTTGCGTAATGAAAATGAATATCTATTAATATGTGTATTATTTATAATTCCTGTATCCTGTGACTGTTTCACTTAATCCTTTGTTTCCTGACTAATTAGGCAAGGCTATGTGATTACAAGGCTTTATCTCAGGGGCCAGCTAGGCAGCCAACCTAAGCAAGATCCTGTGGGTTGTGTGTTTATTTTACTTGATGATACAATGAACACTTATAAGTGAAATGATACCATCCAGTTACTGTCTGTAGGAAAATATGCCTGCATTCTGAGCCACTGCTTTAATAGCATGTCAGACAGAACTTGAATGTGTCAGGTGACCCTGATGAAAACATAGCATCTCAGGAGATTTCCTGCCTGCTGCTTCCAAATATTGTTGACAACTGTGACTGTACCCAAATGGAAAGTAACTTATTTGTTAAGATTATCAACATCTAATATATATGAATAAAGTGTTAAGTTCATAACTATTTATGCTGTGTCAGATTTTTTCTAAGTGAGAACTGGAGTGAAAGAACGATCTATTAATGAATTAGTAGGGAGAGGAGTCATCTTAGTTCTGGAAATTTTAGAGTTGCATTCGGTTCCATTAAATGTGGTGTTTCTTTCCACAAGCATTTTGCTGGCTTTCACTTTTCCAGTTGGCAGCTCTTTGAGTTACCTTTCTAAGACACAGATTTAATTTTGTCACTATTTAAGTCAGAGGCTCTGCTATGGAATGTAGTTTAAACTGCTTAGTCTGGCACACAGAGGTTTATATCCAGCCCCTTCTCCACCTTCCTATTCCCTCCTTCGTCTCAGAATCTTCCTGTCCCCCATCCGATGTTGGCAAGCACCACTGGGTGTGGAGTAGTGGGTTTAAGCTCTAGGGAGAAGGCTTGGATTAGAATCCAAGTTATGCCATTACAAGTGGTGTGACCTTTAATACATTATGTATTGTCTAAGCTTCAGTTTTATTGTCTGTAAAAGAAAAATAATTGTGTCTTCATCATAATATTGTGGTAAGAATTGATTCTTTCATTCAAGAAATGTTTCTTGAAGTGCCTACTATGTGCCTGGTGCTGTTCTAGATCCTTGAGATACCTTACTCAGCAAAACAGCCAAGGATCCCTGCCCCCGGGGAATTTGAAATTAAGGAAGGGACAGATAAACAATGAACAAAATACATAATATGTAAGTCTATTGCAAGGCATTCTCTAAGGTGATTGGTGTCATGGAAAAAAGTTAAACGGAGAGGAGGACAGGGGAATTAGGAATCCTATGTGTGGTGGGGTGGGAGGGCTAGAGGTTTAAAAGAGTAATACTATGTGGCCTCATCGAGGAGATGCCATTTGAGTAAGCACTTGTCGGAAGTAAAGGAAGTAGTTATTTGAATTCCAGGCAAGGGGTATATCCTTGCAAAGGCTCCGAAGCAGAGACTCTCCTCGAGTGGTAGAAGAACCAGCAGACCAGTGTGCTGGGCTCAGAAGATGGGAGAGAAAGCCAGCCATGCTTGAAAGGAATTCAGGGGAAGCAATGTCCTTAGGGGAGGGCCAGTTTATCTTTTGAGTGGACGGAAGTTGAGGATATGATGGATTTGGTTAGTTCTGGGCTATAAATTCCACAAGACCCAGTGAAGCAAGGTAAGAGAGGCAGTCATAAAAGGGAATGTGCATAGGGATGTGCTGGGAGTCTGAGACTTCCTACGATCACTGACTTAAAGATAATGGATAAAATGAGATTAATTCTAGTGTCTTTGGAACATATAGTGGTGGCAAGATTGTGAATGTCAAGGATAGAGTAGGTTAGGTATCTGGGGATTCCTTATCAACAATTTCACATAACCCTCCAACGGCAATAGTAGGATTATGTGAAATACTTCATGCAAAAGGATCATTCGAGTCACTGACAATAATCAGGTGTCATTATTTTGATTATGGGGTAACTAAGTGAGACCTGATTCTAAAACTTTTGAATCTTTGATGAAGCAAGATTGAAAGTAAATTGGGTTAATTTTGGCACAACTACAGCTAATATGATCTGCTGCTGGTGTCTCCACTCTTGTCAGTATTAAGATTGATAGATGCAGACTTCGATGTATAAACAGATGGAGGGTTACTGTGAAACTGTCTTGCCTGAGCCATAGTTCCAGACCATATTTCAGGGGAAGGGATTGGAAATTCCCACCATCAATCATCTTGAGCAGTGATTAATCATACCATGTAATGAAGCCCCAGGAGGTGAATTTTAGTCTAGGGCTGGGTGAAACATCTCCTCTCTCTGAGGTTGGTCTCAGTTTGGCCGAGACTGTGAGACATGGAGAGATATAGACTGTATTAGGTGCTGTGATGATAGCAGGGAATGAGACAGGGAGAAAATCCTTTAAGAGAACTCGAGCTGAGACTGGCCTATGCAGTGGTTGTCAATTATTCTCTATCTTGAATGTTTCTTCTCTTATGAACACATGTAGTTTCAGAAGTGTGATGAAACTTGTAGGAGGGAAAGACCATGATTTAGACTAAGAGACCTTGTGGGTAGCAGTGATTCCTCTCCCAGTGCCAGCAGGGGCAGGTATCTCTCTAATCTTGTGGGCAGCTGTGGCAGCAGCCTGGACTTGCAGTGGCAGAGTTCTTATTGTATAGAATCCCACCCTTAGTGACTTTCAGAAATTGCTGGCATATCCTTACTGGTGGGGCAAATTTTGGTGATTAAAACTTGAGCATGAAATGTCAATGGAATTTCCTGCTCTTTCTCATCCTGTTCTCTTCATTCTTCTCTTCCTCTCATCCCATTTGAACAAGATTATTGTAAATCAATTAAGTGCATCAGAGTAAGGTAGACATATGTAATTGCCCACTATGGGCAGTCAAATTCTGAGCACAGTGTGAAGGGAGAAAACCTGGTGTGGAAGGTGTCAGAACCTGAGCAGAATGAGGAGAAGATCCTTGAAGAGGTAGGTGAGCATATTAGTTTTCTGTTGCTTTGGTAATAAGTGATAACAAGCTTAGTTGCTGAAAAAACCCCACATGTATATTATCTTATCATCATGGTGGGCATAAATCCAAAAGCAAGCTCAGTTGGCTAAAATCAAGACAGGGCTTGTTCCTTCTGGAGACTCTAGGAGACAATCTGTTTCCTTGACTTTTCTAACTGCTGGAGGTTGCTGTCATTCCTGTTAGTGGCCTCTTCCTTTTCAAAAGCTAGCAGAACAGTATCTTTCAGGCTCTCTCATTCTCTCTGACTCTGATACTCCTGCTTTCTTCTTATAAGGACCCTCGTGATTTCATTAAGACCACTTGAATAATTCAGGAGAATGCTTCCAATATTTTTAACTTAACGACATCTGAGAAATTTCTTTTGCCATATAAAGCAACAGTCCCAGATTCAGGGAATTAGGATGTGGACATCTTTGAGGGTCCATTATGCAGTCTATCATAGGAAGGCAACCTGGCATGGGTCCTCTGACCCTCAGCATAGCAAGGAGATCCCCAAGTGAAAGAATGGCCTGGAGTAGGGTGTCAGAGTCCAGACAAGGTGAGGAGAACATCCGTGTACTGGGATGGCCCAGCACAGGTGTTAGAGTGAAGTAAGAATGGTATCTGCACAGGGGAAGACATATTAGGGCAGATGGGAAATTGATTAAGTAATTATATTAATGATAATAGTAACCATTTTCCTCACCATTGAAGGAAGCTATGGTACAGAAAGGGAGAAAATTAGAATAAATCCTATGATATCAAATTAGAATTGGCTGCATCGTATTAACTTATGCTCTTCAATATACAGAGGTGATATAGAAATAAATAATGGCTAGAAATATTAGTTCACCCTATCTCTGTCCACTGAGGGGGCCTGGGAGTAGTAATATCCCAATAACAATGAGAACACAGATCACACGTATCTTGACCTCTAAATACCATTCTCTGCTAGAAGGAACCAGAACTCTTCGGAGAATTGGCTGATCCCAGAGTAGGGGTAGTGAAAATACCTGATGTGCTAGAAAAAAAGAAGTATTCAGAGGATGATGGAAACATGTTAAACGGCACAGAAACCAGCTTGAAGGGACTCCCACTGGCCAAATAAGGGTAAATGTGAGCATCAAAATAAATAGTGACAGTAATGTATTATGACCTATTGAATAGGAAACCATGAGTATATATTGATATAAATGAATACACTGAAAATTTGGTGAGAAATGGTATACTCACATCATTGCACAATATCTCCCTACAAAATAATTATTAATTACAAATTGTAAAGGAGTAATTTTATAGTAGAGAAGCTTAGCACACATCATCTTAATTAAGGAATAAAAGTGAACATTCTTAGTAATGAGATAAATGAAAATGGTATCCTACCTAATAGGATGCAAGGAAATGAACACAGCATACCCTTTGTGATATCGCCGTGAAAGATGCATAACTTATTCTAGTCACGAGAAAACATACAAATGCAAACCGAGGAGCATTCTACAAAATCTCTTGTCTGTAGTCTTCAAAGTATCAAGGTCATATAATTAAGGACAGACTAAGGACTGAGGAATCGTTATGTTCTGAAATGAATTATAGAGACGTGGTAGCTAAATGCAGTGCAGGTTTAAACTGGATCCTTGCTCAGTAGAAAGCATTTTTAGAATAACTGGTGAACTTGAATGAGGTCTGATGAAGAGACAGTAGTAACATCAATTTAAACTTCCTGACTTTGAGGCTTGTATCATGGTTAAGCAAGAAATGTCTTTGTGGGTAGGCAATGCACATTCAAGTATTCAGAAGTGAAAGGGCGTCAGGATAGCCATTTATCCTGAGATGGTTCAGGAAATATAAAGCTTTTCCAACTCTTCTGTAAGTTTGCAATTTCTTTCTTTTAAGACAGGGTCTGACTCTGTCACCCAGGCTAGAGGGCAGTGGCGCAATCATGGCTCACTGCAACCTCTGCCTCCTGGGCTTAAGTGATCCTCCCACCTCAGCCTCCCGAGTAGCTTGGACCACAGGCATGCCCACCATACCCAGCTAATGTTTTTACTTTTGTACGTTTTGTAGAGATGGGGTTTCACCATGTTGCCCAAGCTGGTCTTGAACTCCTGGGCTCAAGTGATTTACCCACCTTAGCCTCCCAAAGTCCTAGGACTATAGGCGCCCAGCCTGCAATTTTTTTTTCAAAATATAAATGTGAAAAAGTCACTGTGAGATTATTTCAGAGTCATAGTCTGGTGAGGTCTAAAATTCTTGATAACTCAGAACTTTCCATATTTAACTTGCAACAAGGTAAAATTTCTAAAGGTAATCACACCTATATATTCACCTCATCCCCATGCTCTTCTTGTAACGTCACTGACATTCCTCCAACTTAAAGATGAGGATATATTCCTCCCCTAAATACTGGGCAGGGGCTTATGACTTTGCTTACCAGTGAAGTGAAATGGAAATGAAGTTACATCCTTTGAAGTCTAGGGTGCAGCCTCTACCTGGCTTCTCTCCCTCTCAAGACCTTT